CCCGCCCGCCGCTCCGCCCGCCGTGCACCTCCGCTCTCCGCTCGCCCGGCTCCAGCCGCCGCCGCACGGTGAGTACCTGCGTCCGGTCATCCGCCGCCCCCGCGTCCTGCCCCTACAGCTTTTTTCGTTTAGTTCCGATTTGGATTCTTGTGGCTGTTGTTTTTATTAGACCTAAAGACTCCATCGCCTCACTCCCATCACTCCCCACCTCCTTCCTGGCCGTCCTCTCTCCAAGCTCACCCCTCAAGCCCCAGGAGGCAGTGAGAGCTCCCTGATGGTCCCTGGCCTCTGCTTCTTGTTGCTGCGCACAACCCTTTGCTCCGGCATTCAGTTCTGGCCCCCGAAATTCGGTTCCTTTCCTAGGATCCCCTTTCGCTTGACTCCTGGGCCCGGAGCCTCTTCCTTTCACTGGCCAAAGCCCCTGGGGAGACCCCAGACCCTCAAGTTAGGGAGAACACACATCCATTCTGAGTGCTCCCTTCTCTGCATGCGGGCCGGACACACTTGCCGATTTCGGGGAACCGAGAAGACATCGTCATTTTCTAGAACCGCTGCGCCCCTGGCCACCTCCTCAGTCCCTCCCCCAACCCTTCAGGGGAGTGTGGGGCTTGTCTGTCTAGCCCCTCAGCCGGGGAGTTAGGACGGTGCTTTTAGTGTTTGTCTTGTAAAATATTACAAGAGACTTCACAAGCTAAGAGAGCCTCAACTTGTTTCAATTTGATCTGCGGAGATAAAGATGAAACGGACAGATAACAGATAAATAGCTTGATATTTGAAGAAGGTATGAAGACAGATGGGAGTAAGAGGAGCGAGCTGTGAGAGACAGGCAGCTCAGGGACAGATAAGATCGACAGATGAGGGGCACCTAGATAGATAGACAGGAAGGTGCAGAGACCGAAAGAGGCGGAAGAGCCCAGTCTTCTCCATGAAGGTGTTTTAATTCGGATCTCCTGTCCAGCTGGAGCTGCCCCTCCGAACACGGATTTGCTTTTACTACTGAGTTTATGGAAGAATCCCTCAGGCACTTTTGGGCTGCCTGGGCTCCAAAAGTGCCTGTAGCTGTGGACTGGGAAGGAGCCTTCAGTGTTTTAGGACACGTGGCTCAGCGGGGAGACCTAGAGGGCCCCAAGCTTCAGTTCCTGGTTCTCCCACTGCTAAAGTCCGCGCCTGCTGCTATTCTGCCTCGACCTGAGAGCAAAGCGCTGACTAGCAGCAACTTTTGATCTGGAGCCCTGTGGTGGTTTTGTGGGATGGTCAGTATTTTTACCAGACCCATGAGATGGGACAGCCTGGCTTGAAGAATACTGGCAGGAGATGCCCCAGCAGAGGAAGCCAAGAGCTCCCCGAGCCTACATTTGGCCTGAGCAGGAACGGGCTATCTGAAGCAAGAAAGCTCAGGGAATGGCGATTAGAAGCAAAGAAGTGGCTCCTCAGAAACTTCCTTGAGAACCTCTCTGTCCCAGTGCTGACCCGGATGGAAATCAGCTTTGGTCTGGAACTCAGCTAAAAATACAGAATATGTGGTTAGGAACTGTGTACAGACCCTGGTTCCACTGATGGCTGGAAAGAAAACGGTTTATATTTTCAGCCAGATCTTTCTGCCCAACGAACGTGGGGCTTCGGATGTGGGAAGAGAAGCTCGGGTTTGTGAAAACTAGTGCTGTTATCCCGAGGAGCGGGCTAGACAGAGTTGGGTGCAGTGGGGGCTGCTTTGAGCCTGGGCGCGCGTGGCATGCCTTGGAGAGTTGGGTTCAGCACCGCGAACAGCGGTCCCTTAGCCTCTTCCCTCCCTCCTCACTCAAGGCCTCCCGACCCTCCTCCTACTCTTTGCCCTTTCCCCGCCTCCTGCTGTCAGGAGGTGGGCAGCGACCGCCCCTCCCCCTCACTCCCCCTCCCTACGCTGCCCCCTCCCGCCCGCGTGCATGCGCGAGTGAGCTGAGGGGCAGCGGGTCCCCGAAGTCCGGGCTTGAGGACCCGGGTGCGCAGGGCAGGCTGCGAGAGTGGCCGAACGCGCACTGACCAGGGTACCGGGAAACCTAGGCAATGGCTTTGCTGTGTGGCCTTGGGCAAGTCACTCTCCATCTCTGGGCCCCACTTCCTCCACAATCTGAAAAGTGGATTGGGTCCCTAGCTGCCGGGGCATTCCTGAGGTCTCAATTACCCCTCTCCTCCCCCAAACCCCGAGGGCTTTTGTTCCAGCGCCAGCACGCGTCTGAATAACAAAAGGCGCCCATCCAGGGGGCGAATGAGCGTGGACTCCCCATTGCCAAGTTTCCCCCGCGCCCCACTCGGCGCACCCCGCTGGGCGGGCCTGAGCCGAGGCGACGCTGAAAATGGCTCATCTGCTCTCTGCTTTCTCTGTTTCGCAGGAGCGGCGGCATGGAGGCTCTCACCACTCAGCTGGGGCCGGGGCGCGAGGGCAACTCCTCGCCCAACTCCAAGCAAGAGCTGCAGCCCTACTCCGGCTCCAGCGCTCTCAAACCCAACCAGGTGGGCGAGACGTCGCTGTATGGGGTGCCTATCGTATCTCTGGTCATCGACGGCCAGGAGCGCCTGTGCCTGGCTCAGATCTCCAATACTCTTCTCAAGAACTACAGTTACAATGAGATCCACAACCGCCGCGTGGCCCTGGGCATCACGTGCGTGCAGTGCACGCCGGTGCAGCTGGAGATTCTGCGTCGGGCAGGAGCCATGCCCATCTCTTCGCGCCGCTGCGGCATGATCACGAAGCGCGAGGCTGAACGCCTGTGCAAGTCCTTTCTGGGAGAGCACAAGCCACCCAAGCTGCCCGAGAACTTCGCCTTCGACGTGGTGCATGAGTGCGCGTGGGGGTCGCGTGGCAGCTTCATCCCCGCGCGTTACAACAGCTCTCGTGCCAAGTGCATCAAGTGCGGCTACTGCAGCATGTACTTCTCGCCTAACAAGTTCATTTTCCACTCACACCGCACACCCGATGCCAAGTACACGCAGCCCGACGCAGCCAACTTCAACTCGTGGCGCCGGCACCTCAAACTCAGTGATAAGTCGGCCACAGACGAACTGAGCCACGCTTGGGAGGACGTCAAAGCCATGTTTAATGGCGGCACGCGCAAGCGGACTTTCTCGCTGCAAGGAGGTGGCAGCGGCGCTAATGGCGGGTCGGGTGGGCAGGGGAAGAGTGTTGCTGGCGGAGGCGGTGGGGGCGGCCCCGGATGTGGTGCGGACCTGGCGCCAGGCCCACCACCCCACAAAAGCCTGCGCTGTGGCGAAGACGAGGCCGCTGGGCCTCCTGGGCCGCCTCCTCCCCATCCGCAGCGGGGACTTGGACTAGCGGCGGGAGCCGGCGGCCCGGCGGGCCCTGGAGGGCCTGGTGGCAGCGCCGGCGTACGCAGCTACCCGGTGATTCCAGTGCCCAGCAAGGGTTTTGGCCTCCTGCAGAAGCTGCCGCCGCCGCTTTTTCCTCATCCCTACGGCTTCCCCACGGCCTTCGGCCTCTGCCCCAAAAAGGACGACCCAGTGCTAGGCGCAGGTGAACCCAAGGGTGGCCCAGGACCTGGGAGCGGCGGGGGCGCGGGCACTGGCGGAGGCGCGGGAGGCCCAGGAGCCGGTCATTTGCCCCCAGGGGCCGGGGCTGGACCCGGCGGCGGCGCCATGTTCTGGGGTCACCAGCCTTCCGGGGCCGCCAAGGACGCAGCAGCCGTGGCTGCAGCGGCGGCCGCAGCCACGGTGTACCCGACGTTCCCCATGTTCTGGCCGGCGGCAGGCAGCCTCCCTGTGCCGCCCTATCCAGCTGCGCAGAGCCAAGCCAAGGCTGTTGCTGCTGCTGTAGCGGCAGCGGCGGCTGCTGCGGCGGCGGCGGCGGGTGGCGGCGGCCCCGAGCCCCTGGACGGTGCGGAGCCGGCCAAGGAGGGCGGCCTAGGCGCAGAAGAGCGGTGTCCGAGCGCACTGTCCCGCGGGCCGCTGGACGAGGATGGCGGAGATGAGGCGCTGCCGCCGCCTCTGGCTCCACTGCCGCCGCCGCCACCCCCACCTGCACGCAAAGGCTCCTACGTGTCGGCCTTCCGGCCGGTGGTCAAAGACACGGAGAGCATTGCCAAACTCTATGGCAGTGCCCGCGATGCGTACAGCGCCGGCCCTGCGCGCGGGCCGGGGCCGGGTGCGGGGGCCGGAGGTGGCTACGTGAGCCCGGATTTTCTGAGCGAGGGCAGCTCCAGTTACCACTCCGCCTCGCCCGACGTGGACACTGCAGATGAACCGGAGGTGGATGTCGAGTCCAATCGCTTTCCCGACGATGAGAGCGCCCAGGACGAGGCCGAGGCCGCAGCTCCTGGCGCGCCCAACACCGGTGGCGGCCAGGACGGCGACCAGCCCGTAGGGCCCCAGTCTACCACGTCCTCCGGCGCCGACGGTCCTACAGACTCTCCCGAAGGCGGCAGCCCTCGCCCCCGACGCCGCCCGGCGCTACCCGCAGCTAGCCGGTCGGCATTCGGGGACCTGGCAGCCGACGATGTGGTGCGAAGACCTGAAAGGAGCCCGCCAAGCGGCGGCTATGAGCTGCGAGATCCTTGCGGGCCGCTGGGGGGCCCCGCGCCTGCCAAGGTGAGCCCTGCACCCGCGCCGCTGGTGGCGCCTCTCAGCTCACCCCTCGGCGCCGCGGGGATCTGGGGTATGCCCTGGCCGAGTTGGGGACGGGAATTTTGTTCTGAGCGGGCGTTTGAGCAGCAAGCCCGGGCTGCTCTAGGTATACCCAGCTTTGGGAGTGCCGTGGAACTGGGAGCCACCACTGAGGGCTTCGGAAGATCCGGGGGGGCAGGCCTGGGAAACTCGTGTGCTATGTTTTTGTTGATGGGAGTAGGCAGGAGACAGACAGAGACTGTCAGTCACACAGAGACAGAGAGAGAAAAGTAAAAGCGGTCTGAAGGAGAAAAATGGAAAGAAAAGGACTCAGACTCAAAGGATAGCGCTGAGGAGACCAGACCAGTTGCAAGACAACCCAAAATGGGGATCAGAGACCCAAGAAAAATTAAGGGTCTCTCCCAAGCCTCGTGGTGGAAGTGTGGGGTCCCAGGAACCTTGCTTCATCCCAACTCTTAGATTTCCTATTCCTTTGAAACTGTCGGCTTGGGTACTTCAGGCTTTATTGGTGGGAACTATCCAGACAGTTGTGCGGGGCGGGAGGGGGCTTTCAGGTTTGCGGGGGCCGCGAATTCCGGGGCGGAGGGGGCGGGGGAGTATGCACCCGAGCCAGCATCGTTGGTCATTTGAAAGTGGGTGCCCACACCTGTACATTTCCATTCGGTCCATTAAAACACGAATTGTTAGCCGGATGCGAAAGGCGTCTTTTATGCCGGGGACCGCGGTGCGGGCTGGAGGGAAGGTGCAGTAAATGAGGGCGAAGAGGGTGGGAACGGCGTTGAAAGGCCCTTGGCTTGGGAGAGGCTTTCTTTTTCGAGTAATTTCCATGAGGGCGCTCACAATTACCCTGCGTCTACAGCTGTTTCTGGATACTAGGGCGCCAGGCTGCACCGCGTGCGTCACCGCCTCCCGGGGCGCTCTGGCCCCTGACGCTAGCCAGCCTTCACCACCCATTCAGAGTTCCCTCCCGGCGGCGACGCCGACCTCCTGGGTCGCTCCCGGCGGACGCCAAGCGCGGGCCTAACCGCCTGTCATTTCTCGGCCGCCGCAGGTGTACGCGCCCGAGCGGGATGAGCACGTGAAGAGCGCGGCGCCGCCGCTGGGGTCTGCGGCTTCCTACCTCTGCACCCCAGAGGCCCACGGTAACGCCCCCAGCCCCCATTCCCGTGCCGAGACCTCTGGCTATTGTGATCGGGGATACTGCAGGCCGAGGACCGGGGCCACCAGAGTGAGGGGGAATCTGTGAGGTTGAGAGAGGTAGAGAAAGCGAGAGAGAAAAGAAGTGGGAACGAAACATAACGGGGAAAAAAAGCAGCCAAGAGACAACTCCCAAGAACTTCCATCATTTGGTTAGTTAACTACCGACTGGCCTACAAACACACACTCCCACACACGCACACCTCTTACACTGGGTACACCTTTAAACAAAATCACATGTGGCAACCCCTTCAATTATTCTGCAAGTGTCTCTGGCCTGGGGTGCCCGTGGTTCGGCCGTCTGGTTGGGGATGGGGGCGCTTGATAGGGAGCTCAGGTAGCCAGAAGCGCCAGGTAGCTGTCGCCCAACGCGATGTGGGTGGAGGGAGCGTTGCAAGCGTTGCCTGGACCCTATGGCTCACTGAGGAGGGACCTTCGGTCTCAAAAATGCGGGCAGGCTGGGCACAGAACGATGTCCTCACCACCACCACCACCACCCCGACCCCGCGGGCCGCTGCCTGGGCCGCGTTCTCCGCTGGAGCCGCGCAAGCAGTCCCGGCGGCCACGCGTGTTTGAGGTGCCCCAGTATCTGCGCGCGATGTAGGTCGTTTGTCCCTGGTGGGCTCAACTGCTCGTCATGCTTTTTTCTGAGGGGTTGGGGAGGGGGCGTGGAGCCGAAGAAGAGCAGATCGCGCGTGGGGGAGGGGCCCTGGGCCCAAAGCCTGAGGGTGCGAGCCAGGCGAGCAGCCGGGAACCAGCGGCGGCCACAACGCTTTTAATTAGGGCCCGGGCGCCCCGACAGCGGCGGCTCTGGCCGTATCGGGGTCACGGTTTCTTTGCCTCTCCTTGAAACTCGGTTTATTGCCTTTAAGAGCCAGATAAGGAAGACAATCACTCGACCGCTGATGATTTGGAAACGAGGAAATCCTATCCAGACCAAAGGAGTATCTCCCAACCAAGTCCCGCAAATACTGACCGAGGTGAGCCCCAGGACCCTTGCTTAACCCCCACCGGGGACCTGGTGCCCAGGTTGCCCAGATTCCCGCTGACTTGAGCCAGTGAAGAAGGGTTTCAATCTAGTGTAAGCAGCTACCCATCCCATTCTGCGGCTGGCAGATATTTAAACTGTGCGGGTGAGTGCAGGCCAGATGTCCTGAGTTGCTTCCCTCCTTGGGTTTGGGGGCTCTTTGGGGATAAGGAGTGGGGCATATCAAAATGAAATGAGGGACCCCATCACCCACATAAAAAGGTCAAAGGTTACTTACTCCTTGTCCTAAGATAGCTGATGTTCTGTTAGTTGGATCTACTCTTCTATAGCAGGTCACTCTCTAAAATGATTATACCCCTAAAATGATGGCTTAGAAACTGGGGAGTACAGGATGCCTGCATCTGTCTAAAGGCAGGAGGTCTGGATCAGATTGGGGACCTAGTACAGATCCCAGTAAGCTCACTCCTCCCATCCCAAGACCTCTCCCAGGACAGAACCCCTTCTATCTGTCCTTGTATCCCAGGCGAAGATGGGCTCACCCTGGATGTCACGGGAACTCAGCTAGTGGAGAAAGATATCGAGAACCTGGCCAGAGGTGAGGTTACATCTGTGAAATGGGGGTAACTGTCCTTGAGGGAGACTGGCCCTTCTTATAGAGGGGTGTCATTCCTGAAATTGTAAATGTGAAAAGACAGAGCTGCTGGGTGAAAGGGATAATCCCCTAGACACACTATCCTCACACAGAGGTATGTGTGTGTAGGGGTGTGTAAAAGGGAACTCACCCCCCCACACACCCTTCCCCCACACACACCCTTCCTCCACACTGCCAGGTTCAGTGGAAGTTTGGGTTCCTGGCGCTGCCTGTCCGAGCAGTCCAGTGAGAGAGAGAAATGAGTAATGAGACTTGGAACTTGCATGTGGACAAACCAGAAAAGACACCCTGGGTCTGCCAACCTCAGTGGGAAAACATGACTTTTTCTGAATAGCAAGTGTGTAAAGAGACTTTTATTTTAGGAAGGCTTGCAAGCTTAAACCCCACACACACTTCATGTACAACCACTCCACCCTAAATGGGGTAAAGATGGAGAGTTCTGGAATTGAAGTTGAGGCTGCCAGAGGTTGATTGTGAATTAAGCCACTGAAGGAGGAGGCCTCTAACCCCACTTTGCTCCTCTAGCTCCCATTTTGGTGTTTTCCTCTAGCATCTGGTAGGGGAAGATTTCTCAGTGGACCCAAATATCAACAGCCCCATGGGCAAGGCAGCCAGCTCCCTGCCACCGAAGTGAAGCTAGTTTCTTAGGCGTTATCAGCTTTTCACACTCAACTCTGCCACACATTCCTACCCAACCAGCCCAGGGATGCGCTTAGGAGTTGGTGTGAGGAGGGAGAGAAGCCTGGGCGGTCTTCCATTCTTCCAGATTTTATAGACTATTCAACATCATAGGACTTTATTTGAGGACTGTTAGCATGGGGTGGGGAGGGCAAGGACTCTTGGAATTATAAACAAACTGTTGTGAGTATATGTATTCTTCCAGGGAAGGAAGAATTTGGCCAAAGACTCTTGGCCAAATTCTCCATGGTCTGTATTGTCTATCACTTGAAAGGGGTAAACTGAGTCCTTCTGGCCCAGCCTCTAAAAGTTAGAAAGTTAGAAACCACTTCAAGATGCCAGGTTGGTTAACACTTGGAACTAGGGCCTAGAAGGCCAACAAACATTCTGCCACCGGACCTTCCAGTGCACTCTGAGCTCTGTTTCCTGACCCAAATCCTTTGGAAGCAAATGGAAAAACTGAGTGCTTAGCTTCTGGACCTACCTATCCTGCCCTTCCAACCCCCATGTCAGGTCTTTCAGCCAGGATGGAAACTGGATGCTTTCTGGGTCCCCTAAATCTGGAACTCCTTCTCCTCCCTTTACCTCCCACTTCCCTGCCCCCCTCCCCTTAACAGACGAATTGCAAAAACTGCTCCTGGAACAAATGGAGCTCCGTAAGAAGCTGGAGCGAGAATTTCAGAGTCTCAAAGGTACCCCCACCTAGATCCACCTCACCCCAGCTCATCCCATCCCACCTCATCACCAAAGTCTTGCTCCGGGACAACCCATGACTTGCTATGTCACCCCAGTGCAGGCAGCTGCGAGTGCCCCACAGAAAGCAAAGGAACTCTTTTCCGGGGTTTCCCCGCCAGGCCAAATGCTGGGGGGTGGGGGTGAGGAAATGGGGCCTAGGGTGCGAGCTGTGCATAACAGCTTTCACTTAATCAATTTGCACAGATAATTTTCAGGATCAAATGAAGAGGGAATTGGCTTATCGAGAAGAAATGGTGCAACAGCTGCAAATTGTCAGAGGTAAGACGCGAGTCAGGTGAGCGCGTGCACGGGCCATAACTGCCTCTCGTCTGGTAGGAGCCAATGTTGGCTCAGTCATTTGGATTTAAATTGAAGGTAATTTAACAATTATTTTTTTTATTTAATATCCTTTGTATACTCTGATTAGCCTCAGAATGGCAAGCGAGCCCAGCAAACGGCTTGCAGGCATCATTACATGGAGTGATTGAACTTCTTATCGCGGCAATTTCCATGGTTTCTAAATTAAAAATCGAGGCGTAAAATTACCTGGGAAGTAATGCCTAAGTTTGCTTTAATTTTGGTTAGATCCGTCTGCCTTTAAGCGCCATCCCAGGCCATTTCCTCCCTCCGTCAGGCTGCAGTTTGGAGCATAGCTGCCCCCCTCCCTCGGTCCCCCGAACTTGTTTCTGGAGGTGCTGAGCGCTGAGGAGAGGGTGAGGCCCGGGCTGTGACCCTGGCCGGCTGAAGGTTGGTCGCGGTTCCTGATTGGCCCCTCCCCATGTTTTCCAGACACTCTGTGTAACGAACTGGACCAGGAACGGAAGGCGCGCTATGCCATCCAACAGAAATTGAAAGGTGCGGATGCCAGGGGAACAAAAGATAGGAGGGTTGCCAGACGCTGGCTGTGCAGGCGAATAAATCGACAGTAGAATGAAGGAAGGAGTGAAGGAAGGAACGAATGAATGGCGGGGCTAGTAAGAAAATCTTGGGTCAAAGCTGAGAGAAGGGAAGTGGGGATTGATTTTAACGGGGAAATGGTTCTAGAATGGTGGGATAGGGAAAAGGATGCCCCTTGAGGTGTGGGCATTGGGAAATATGCCAGACCGTCCAAATCTGGCCTTGGGTGGATTGGCCTCCCTCTTCCTGTGCCTCAGTTTCCTCTTCTGTAAAATGGGGGCTATTGACCCAGCGCAATGGTTTTGAATCACCAGGATCTCTCTCCTACCCTCCTATCTACTGGTTCGCTAACTTGAGAATCCCTGAGCCAGAATGGGGTGGGTAAGACCAGGGCGCCGATGGGAGGGGGACTGAAGGGAGGCTGTCCCGTGGGCGAGCGAGGCTAGGGGGAGGGAAGCAGACTAGGCGTCCACGGTGGCCCTCCCGACTGTCTCTCCAGAAGCCCATGACGCCCTGCACCACTTCTCCTGCAAGATGCTGACGCCCCGCCACTGCACTGGCAACTGCTCCTTCAAGCCCCCGCTGTTGCCCTAGGGCCGGCTCAGCCACCCACGCGCCCTCAAGCCATGCTGCTCTCTTCTTGTAAATACCCCGGCCACGGCGGCCCAGAGCGAGGAACAAGCCATTCGGACCGGACCGATGTAAATACAGCCGCCCGCCCTCCTCCTGGGTGCCTGGGCCTTGCCCGCCCTCTGCCCTCTCCGGGCGCCCCAGCCCAGGGCCCCGTTTCCATTTCCAACTGTAAATACCACCTCTCCCTACGAATGAACTACAGGGCATCGGACCTCACGGGGTTAACTGGACCTGAGGGGGGTAGAAAGGGGAGAGAGGGAGCCTCCCCCCAACCCCCCCGTACAGCTTCAGACCCCCAATTGTGAATACAATGTAGCAACTCCGCTGGCGCTGGCCCCGCGCTCCCGTCCACTTCTGAAATTATTGTTCCTAATGACAAAGTGGCTATGTGCAATGGATATAAATGTACTGTTAGTCTCTTGGTTCAGCATTGGGTTCGCTTTATTTATGCTATGTTAATTTTGCTTCTTCTGGACCTTCTTCTAGCCCCATTTTGCATTTTCCGTTTGGTTTTGCTTTGTCTATTTTTTTTATTGTTGTTGTAAACTCTTGATGTAACAGCACTTTAAAAGGGCAACAACCGATTCACGAGACGGACACCACCTTGAGCCTGTTGGGGAGACCACCCTGTATGCGTGACTTCTGTTTTTAATAAAAAGAAAACCTGTCACTTCCTGGGGCTATGGAAGTGGGAATGTGTGGAGGAGGGGGAGGGTAGACGGAGGACTGCGCAACAGGTGGTACGTGGATGCGGTGCCACTGAGGGGTTCTGGGGCGCCTGGGGTGAGAATCGCACCCATGCAGGTGAGCAGCAGCTGGCTCCCCGACCTCTCCGACAATTCTTTCGAACACACCCGACATGCCTCACAGGGCTTCCCCTCCTGGGTGTTTAAGGTCCTCTCTAGGGCCTTGGGGTGGTGATCTCTGATTCTTTCATGGAGTGCTCACCCCGACTGAGAATTTAAGTCTATTCGTGTCCATTTCCACGACTGCGCCACCGGGACAGCGCTCAGAGACCTGCGCTGTTTTCGTGTAGTTTGCACCGCGCAGGTTCCTCAGACCTGGCCCAACGCGGTGGGGTGGGGGTGGGGGGCCCGAGGTGGGGAGCCTGGAACTAAAGGGCGGGAGTACCCCTGCGCGCTAGTCCGCGGCGGCCCTCTCGATAGCCCCGCCCTACCCGAAGGGAGGGAGCCTCGGCAGCCTCTCCTGTTTCGCCCAGTTTAGTCCCGGAAGGCTTGGGTACCTAGACGCACCCAAGAAGGAACGAAGGCCCCCCTGCCACTGGAGTCTCTCGCCTTGACGGCCTTGGAGGGATCGGGGCCAGGCGCCCCAACCTGTTGTGAACACCTCGCCTTGCCGCGGTTCTTCCGTTCGCCTCAGTTTCAACTGACTGGGCTAAAGAGAAAGCTGGAAACTGAAGCGCCCCAGGTGGCGATGGGGTAGGAAAGTGTGACAGGAGTGGGGAAACACCCAAAATCGGGAATCTTTCAGCCCTGATTTCCGGTTTCACCTCCGCGGCGGACTAGTAGGGGTGCTGTGTTGCACCCGTTTTCTTTCCTAGGCCTCAGTAAAGTAATATTCAGGCCTCAGTCCCGGTAGTCGCAAAAAACCAACCAACAAACAAAACGCTCTGGGACAAAGCAGCGCTCAGGGCACAATCAGCCGGGTGCCAACGCCCGACGACACCAGTGCTCGAGTTGCGTGTCTCGAGGCTGCAAAGTGCCCTGGAGAGAAGAACCTGCACGCGGGTGCCGGGTTCTACGCTCCCAGGCGAGCAGCTCTGGCCCGGGAGCCCTTGGCTCGTCTGAAGTTTCGTGGCCGGTGGCCTGGAGCACCCGGGCGAGAGCCCACGAGCTGGGGGTTTGACCTGGAGCGTCCGGAAAGATCACAAGCCGGCAGGCTGGTGGTATGGGGGAAGCAGAACGCCACTCAGTCCCCCGTCCGGCTCGGAGCCCCTCAAATCTAGGCAAATGTCGAGAACGAGACGCAGAAAGACGAGAGAGGGGCGCTAGGTGAGGGCGCGGGGTAAACCAGGAGGTGTCGCCAAGGCAAGAAGTTGCCTCGGGACGCGCGATCTCCCAGATGGGTCCCTCCAAGAAGCGGGAAAATTTCCTATGGGTGGAGTCAGCTAGGTGAGTGGTCCACTGTACGCACCGCGGTTTTGAGTCCAGAGAAAAAGTAACTTGTATCCCCAGGGTGAGCCTGGGGCGAGAGGAGTTGGAACTCAACTAAGCAGCGAGCGTCTGGAGACAGTGAGCTCTAAGTCCCGCCGCCGCCTCGTAGGCGCACTTTTTGGAAGCCACGTTTGCCTTCTCCGTAAAATGGGAATAAATAACAGCACCCAGCACAGGAAGAAGCTCTGAAGCTGCGCCCACGCGAAGGAGTCTAACAGATATCTCTTCACCCTTTCTTTACCGATTTTCCAAGTGGAGAAAAGCGCCATAGGCGGCAGGGGCCCCCTGAAAAGGGCGCCCCATCTGAGCCGGAATCTCTGTGGATGGAGGTGTAGGCGGATCCGACCCAGAAAGCTCACTCACAAAAACCCTCTTGGGCTCAGCGTCCCTTCAGAAGTGGTTTGTTCCCTCCTAAATGTTAATAACCAAACGATTGGTATGGATGTAATTATCAATAATTATACGAATTATTGCTGATTGCGGGGCTCGTAGCTACTTTAATTAGTTTACCAGATTCTAATTAAGTTAAATGAAACATTAATAGGGAAAATATGCTTTGAAAAAAAGAAACACCAGGATTTTAAAAGTCTATTTCTCGCCACAACGTTGCCACCTTGCGACACATGTTAGGCATTGCAGTCAACCTCGAAAGGCCCTGGACAAGGGCGATTGTGATGGGGGGAAAAAACTGGAACTTGAGCAATGGGGGTGGGCCGCTAGTGGGGTACAGAATATCCTCCCAGCTGTTCGGTTCCATACTCCTGTTCCCTGGAGGTGCCTACAGGAGGCCTGAGGGGTAAAGAACCAGGTACCATGTCCCTAGGACTTCTCCCATTTCCAGCAGAGGAACCACAGACATGTCTCACTCAGGAAGTTGGGGTGGGACAGGGGGGCCTCTATCCCCACCTGTACCAGAAGACTCAAGGTGGTAAACAGTAAGACTGGAGGTCCTGGAGGAGACAGCACTATGCTGCTTCATTTTTCACTCCCCCTGGGGGAGAAATCATTACATAACTCCTAACTCATTTCTTCTGCAAACTGGGTTCACCTGTTAAGAACCTGGACTTCAGGGCCTGACCTTGGTTTGCTCCCTGTGTTGGCTCAAAAGGGTAACAGGTCTCGCTTATGCTTGGTGTGTGTCTTATCTCCATGGAACTGTGAGTACCTTGGTTAACAGGGGCTACTTCTTGCTCTTGTTCTTTTTGTGGCCTCCACAGTCACTCAACAGGTATCTCCATGAATGGCTTCAACTGTGGTTCATCTGAGTGCTGAAAAGTGTGAGTAAAGAATCTCTAGGTGATTATGGACAACAGTTGCTAGTATGCAATTAAGCTCAATTACCTAAGGTTAATTAAGCACATGCTTACTGCTTAGAAGATACTTCATCAATAGGATTAGTTTGGGAACAGGGGGCAGGTAAATGATTTTCAGCCTAGAACCACAGAACTTCCTCTTCCAGCTCCTTCCTACAGAGGGTACTCCTTCATTTCCTCACATTTTTGCAAGATCACTGAGCACATACCTGTCTACTCATTTCCAGTTACCCTGACCCTTTGCAAAAATGCAGTTCTTGTCACAAAACACCAACAGAAAAGCAGAACTGGATGTGCATATGCTTTCCGTTAATTCCAAACAGCTCTCTCTCCCATTCTCCATGATCCATCATAGCCAGATTTCCTGGGTCATGGTCCTTTCTTTGCCATTGACCAGTTTTATGACCTTGAGTGAGTTATATGGTCTTGCTGTGACTCAGCTTCCTCATCTATATTATGAGAGGGAGGGAAACCTACTTCATAGAGCTGTGCAGTGACAAGAAAGTCAGTCAGGTCTCTGGGTTTTCCAGGACTAGGAGTTGCCTGTGTCTTTCCTAATTTCTGCTCTGAGACAACATCATGCCCAGAAGAATCATCATTCTTGTAAAATCATCATCAGTTTCTTTAGGAGGAGGAAGAGTCAACAACATCTACTGGTTTCCTTGTTTGGCATCCCCCAAATATTTTAACTCTTCATCCAACTGCTTTAGTGGCCTCCAGCGAACCAGGCATCTTTGGAAGAAGAAAGGAAAACCAAAGATTTGTGCTAGCTCCAGGCCCTGACAACCCAGCAGAGGGGAAAGCACATGGAGAGAACCTACAGAACCTTCTTCTCAGCTGTTACCTGGAAAGGATCATTTCACTTCCACTGAAGAGAAGAGAAATGGATCCCTGATGTAAACCTGCTTGGCAGCTCTGAGTATCTGGCTGTCCTAGGGTAACTTGGGGTGGGGGAAGGGGGGAGGAGTGCATTTTGTGTGTCTGCCCTGACTGTGGGCTGAGCACAGAGCCTGGGAGCTCTGCTACCCCTGAAGACCAGCCCTCTGGGCTTCAGGTAGCTGTAGAGGCAGACAAGACCCACCTCTGTCATACTTAGGCCCTACCAAAGTACAAACATTCCTCTCCTGGAAAGAAATGTACACTCCAGAAAACACTGACATTCATCACGATAATCTGGAAATGTTTGGCTTTATTTTTCCTCAATTTACTAATTAGGATTGTGTTTCTTGCAACTGAATTACTTAGGGGCAGTGTCGTTCCAGGGTATGTGCCTCAAGATCTTAATAAGCCTTGTCTCAGACACTTACTAGTTACAGGATCTTGTCCAAGCAATATCCTTGGGGCAGGGCTATCTGGATTATTAAAATGAAATGTTGGTGAAGCCTCTGGCACTTGGTTCATACTCAGTGAAAAGTGGGCATTATTGTGATTTAAGTTTAGAGGGCGCACGGAGAGTTAGTCTTGTTGCAAATCA